CCCGGTCAGGCAGCCCTGGCGCCGGTGAAGCCCTGCTGGGGTCTGCAGGAGGAGCCGCGGGTGGGGATGGCCGCAGTGCGTCCCCCCACGGCCCCTCACCACCCAGGAGCCGTCCTGTGGTGGGAGAAGGGTCATGGCACAGAGCTCCCGGCGCTCCTGTGGTACGGCGCCAGAGGTATCTGCGCGCTCAGGCCAAGAGCATCCGAACCCACCACGAAAATAGCTCCCACAGCCTCCCCGGCTGCCATTTGAGCCCTGGCAGCCCTCGGTGCCCCAGGGACACCCCTTCTTCCCCAGCCGCCTCCCTCCTCCTCCTCCCCAGGGCAAAACCCAGCCCCCGACAGGGATTGATCCCGTGTGGGGCAGCGGGCAGAGGCGGGTGAGTCCCCTCTCCCTCCCCAGGGCGCAGAGCAGCCAGGCCAGGCGCTGGAGGATATGGTATTTATTGGCTACCTATAAGTTAAGGGTGAGGGAAAGGGGGCCCAGGGGCGGCAGGAGTCACGTCTCGGCTTTCCACCCCTTCTCCTTCTCGTCCTTGGCCTGGATGCGGAGCTCCTCGTCTAGCCGCTCCTTGGCTCTCACCACCTGTGGGACACGGGGACGGGGTGAAACGGAGAGATGTGGCTGTCCCCTCCCCTCCCTGCCTCATCCGCCGCAATGCTCTGGTTCTGCTCTCTCCCAGATCCCAGGCAGGGGAAGGTGCTAAGGGCAGGGCTGAGGGCCAGGGCAGCTCCCTCTCCTCTCCTCCCCTCCCTTTGCTCACCTTGGACTGCAGGTAGAAGGAGCCTCCCACCGACTTGTCGTTCACCTTGAACAAGTGGTCGTAGTTCTGCCAAAGAGAAGTTCCCTGTCAGATTCGTCTCTTCCACCCTCCCCGGCCCCAAACCCTGGTGGCCTCCTGCTCCCTGATGTGGTCCTGGAGGTGATGAGTGTGATCTCGGGGACATGGCTGGCTCTGCCAGACCCCCCGGTGGGTCCCCACGCTCCTGGGCAGGCCCCTCCGGGAAGCCCATGTCCCCTTCCCAGTCAGCGCTGCCGGGCAAACGCAGGGGCCGAGCCCAGCAGGCTGATAATGCCCACGAGCTGTTGGCACGCTCCTCCACCTGGGGCAGGGAAACTTCAAACTGGGATTAACTGGGCCCAGGAGAGCAGCTGCACTCCCTCTGGGGACCAGTCACCACCCCGACACCAGGCAACAGCCGTGGGGAGGGCAGGGCCCACCGTCTCTCCCTGGCTCTGAGGGAGCCTCTACCTTCTGGATCTCCTCCCGGTTGAGGTTTGAGACGTTGAGGATCTGCTGAGCTTCCTGGAGGCTGATGCCAATGATCCTGGAGGCAGCGGCGGACTGGGGTCTCTCCGAGCGCCCTCGCGCATCTGCCGCTGCTCGGCTCGCTGCCCGGAGACACCAAGGGTGTGAGTCCCCCTGACACTGCCCCCCACGGACCCCCAGGCCTCAGGAAGGGGCCAGGCAGCAAAGCTCATGGGCTGTGAGGTGCTCACATCCCAGTTCCACCCCTCTACCCTTCTCATG